CAAACCCTAAGAGAAAAGCTAACAACTAAACACATTAAAAATTTCAGAATTTTTCCACATTTAGGTTCGGCGGGTGATGAGTTGCAATGGAAGCCGATAAAGCTGGCTAGGTATTATTAATTAATACCCACAAAATACACATGAGATTGAGAGATATTTATGTTAATATAGATGGCTAAAGTGTGATGAATGTTGAAAAAGCTATAGTTGAATAGATGCATGCATGGATATAATTTAATGCAATGTTTAGACATTCAACTTCTAAATAGTACAGTTGATTGTGATTGAATTGAATCTACGTAGGGTTGAAGATGAAGATATAGTTTTTATGCGGCATTAATGGTAGAGGTTTCTTGTAGTTCAACTAATTTTGATGGTAATGATGGTGACCAGTCAAACTGCTCTTAGTTTTCGTTAGGCCCCTGATTTTGAATTTCCCCCACAACAACTCAACTGCCTCGCATCCATCTCTATTATTATATCTTTCTTTATATAAAAGAAAATTCTTGTCCATAGATGTCTGCATTTTTATAAAACTCAGGCTCTCATTAGATGGTCATTCAGAAATTCTCTGGCTTTACTTTGAGGAATGGGATCCCGTAAGGAAACTCGAATCGAAATCTTTTGCTGTTTGACCGTTCGGCTAATCTCTCGTGGGTGTCTCTAAAAATATTAAAGAACAAAATTTTACAGTTTTTAATATGAGAAGGTTTGACGGTAATGTTTATAAATCATCAATGGGTGTCATCTAATAAAAGTCTATACAGATACCTGCAGGAGGAATACACTGGTTTTATAAATTGCATAAGTTAAAGATAAAATATAATAGTTTGTCCTTGATCTCATTAATTTAGTGAAATGATCAGAGGAATAATTAATCTGAAACTTTGACAGTCGAACTTATTATAGATTTCAAAGTTTTGACTCCTGGTGCAGCTTCTTTTATTTTTCATGCCCTTTCACACGTGATCTTCCTTATTGCACTCGAATAAATGACATGGTTGATTCTTGAATATAGTATCCCATATTCCTATGTATAAATTTAGTGATACGCGTACTCCTTGGACCATAATTCAAAGATTAATTTATTTAAATGATAATATTCCAAAATAACATTATTGAATGTACTTGGTAATTATCATAAATTAAATTAAAGATTTACTATATAGTTTTATTATATATATGTACTGAAGATTATAAATTCAAGTCAGCCACCTCGATATCTTCTCTTCACCTACTCATTGAAGAAATTCAACAAATAATTTTTGAAAGTCGTAGTTATGACCAAATTAACGCATAGAATAGAATACACCAAATCTTTTAAGGAATCCCATTTTCAAACCATTCATTAAACTATATATTATAATTTAATGTATGTATGGACTATGAATAGGAAAATATATAGTTTTAAACTTAATTAAGACACTTGGTTTACCCCATTACATGATAGATTCATCTAATAAGAATTAATATAATAACTAATATAACTTTTAAAGGAAAAATTAAAATATAATTAGTCTCGTAAACACAATGTTTTCTTAATTAAGTAATAATTAAAGCAATTAATAAGTAATTTATGGGAAAAATAAAAAAGGAAATTCAAACACATGATGCTGATTGATATATGAAGTTAAAATACAACCATGGTAGGTAGGCAACTTTAAAGACAAAAATAATAGAAATTAAATTCGCATTAATGATCGTTAGGTACTCAAATTTAATACCACTTTAAATGTGCTGATAAGCTATATGAATTAGCAACGGATAAACATCTGCTTCGACAAAGTTTAGGTAACTGCTATTTTCATTCATTGAAGAACACAACTCAACTATAATTTAATACATAATATCTTCATCTTTCTATATTCATTTAATAGCCAACATAAATACATTACTTCAACAATTTTATTTATCATATAGTTTAATCACAATGTATTAGATCATCCTATATTAATAAATAACACCATTTGAAGATATCTAACTCAATGCCATCAAAGTTTAAGTTTACGGTTTCCAAGATATTAGATTACAGTTAATACCATCACATTTTAAGTGTATGTGTCGCATAATGTCTACATTCTAATGCTGCTCGTGTCGGGATATGATTGTTGGTGTCAAAGTCCTACATCGATTATGAAACAAGGGTTTTGGTCGCTTATATAACACAAAGATACTCTCATCACTCAGACACACTTTTTCAAGATAAAATTATACGGGCATCAGGGCTCAAAGCAGACAATACCTCTGAAATTTATCTATTATGTGTTTGGATCCAACAATGTACATCAACCATGACCATTATTATTCCAATGACTATAGCTTCCGTGAGAATATCTTGTGGATGAAAAAAAAAATTCCGATGGCACACCAGATGCAAGACAACCTTGATAAGTTTATTAGTATTCTATTTTCAAAGTTAATTATATCTTAGTTAAGAATCTAAGTTACTCGTAGATTCGACGTGCTATTGTAGATTTAAGTTACTTATGATTTCTAATTGATTGAACACATTTCCGATGAAACTCCACACACACCAACACCCCTGACAGTTTCATTTTCCTTTATTGAAATCTCTTTTTTTAAATACCAATTGGGAATTTTACTTTTTCTTTTCAAGAAAAAGAAATTAAAGTTATTTAATGAAGAAAAGTGACAATAAGAAATTAATTAAAGGGTGAGCCTCAATGATCATAACTCCATAACTGGTTGATGTAGATATAACTCCACCATTAATGTTCCAAAATCTAGCTGGGAATTTTGTACAGAAAACAATTGCGACCTTCTTTGTTAATTTTTTTTTTCAATTTGTTTTTTTTTTCTGCCATGATCAGTCAGCTATTAAGAGCTGAGGTAGTTCCACATATAGATACTCTTAATTAATGATAAGGATTTTCATTTATTTATTTATTTTCTCTCTTCAAATTACATAGTGATCAGTTGGTGGACCATGCAAATATTTAATTAATTAATTAACCTTTTTTTAAGAAACTTATGAAACTCAAAACTTTTATTGTTTATAAATTAAAGTCACAGAAAACATTGAAGTATAGTTCAAAATATAAGTACCCTTTTGGAAGCACTTCAAAATTAAGTTGAATAAATGCTTTTTGGAGATGGGAGTGCTTTTTATATTTGGAGACAAAAGCACTTCTTGGTAAGAATTAGTGAATGAAAATTATTGTTTAGGGTTTACAAGGGGGAGAGAGAGAGAGAGATTGAATACCAAAATAAAATAAAAATAAGTTGATGCATTAATGTCTTTTGAATATTCTTATGGAGTCAATAATATTGTTAATTCAATTTAATGTACAAATGAAAGGCAATTGTTGATTATTAATGCATAGAGAGAGACAATTAACAATTTTCACAATATCTAATTTTGACCATTAAAAAGTCCATGAATGTTAAAGAAGAAGAAAAACGAAGATTGATTAAATGCTTGGTCCCAACCCTCAATCCTCTTTGATAAATATGCCTCACCTACCTAATTAATGAAGATAATTAAAGAAAGAAGAAGAAGAGTTGTGTATTATTAGTCATGTTTAGCAAGCTAATTAATGAATCCAATTTGCTATATTGAGGACAGACTGATATAATATTGAATTGGGGGTTAATTTGGAAAACTCAAAACCCAATGTGTGAAGGAAAGGTAGTTGAGAAGCTTTAAATTAAGACCATGATAAAATTAAATTCTCATTTACTAAGAGTTAGATATATTAATTAATGAATTTTGGCATATTAATTAGCTTCATGCAGAGACCATAAAGCTCTTTTATTTGACAAAGTGTAGGTGAATGCAGTTTTCAAACATTTATAGTATACAACCATATTTTTGTTCATCGCTCTCTCTTTTAAGAGCAATTTGGGGAGGTTAAATTTTACAAGAACACAAGTACTTAAAAGCTTTAACTATGAAAGATGGCTAAATTGTTGAGCAATTTAATGTTCATGGATACATGTCACATTCTCAGATTTATGACTTTACTTCATTAGCATTTCCCACTTTCTGTTCCGATATTTCGGAATCTGTAATTATAATTCTAGCAATAGCAATGAACTCAGTCTCTCTCAGCTCTTAGAATTCTACCCTACTTAATCTTAATTCGATAAAATCGTAAATAGATAGGTGTATCACGTTATTTGTACAAAAAGTAACTATTTTTATTGGATTTATAACAAATAATATATCTATCTCATGTAAGTTTTTCTCTCAACTTACCCTTTGATCCCAAGTCAAGAAAATTGTAAATTATACAAACATATAAAGTTATTCATATGTAAAGTAACATATTTTTTGCTAAACTGATATATAAATAACTTAATATATTTAGTCTTAACATGATACTTCATTGGTACATAGAGTAATCTATCTTCGTTGAACTACATAAAAGTAACATGATTTATCTTTCTAGTTAAGATTTTAATTTATTGAACTTCAAAGAAGTATTAAACTAAGTTTGACTTAAGTTCTACAATGTTTGTTGTATATTTTAGAATCTGTAACAAACGCTCACTCTATCTATAATTTATACGTCCTTAATTTTAAATTAGATAAATGTATCATATGATTTATACTTATAATAACGTGTTTTTGACTGAAATGTTGTATTATAATAAAATACAAAACCAGTATGACATGCCAACATTTGGTGATTTTTGACAAGTTCTTTTTAGCTACTACCAACAACCAAATACCAACTAACATTATTTGTTATTGAGTACACAAAATGTATGTTGAAATAGAGCCTCAATACACAATTAAAAATAGTAAACTTAACTAGCTCTCACATTATCTAAACTTCAAGAAATTGCAGAATTGTCAATCAATGAACAAGCTAGCTTCAACATTCATAAAAACAGCATTCAATGCAGAAATTGAATTGAAGAGGAAAAGATTAAAAAACAATAATAATAATAATAAAATAAAACCATTTTCGTTTTCTTTTTTGATCATTCAATTTACACATACTTAAATTCTCTTTGGCTAATATATATATATATATATATTTAATTAAACTGCAAATTAATTATTTAATGTATCTATCATTTACAAAATCATAAACATTAATTGAATAATTTCAAACCTTTCTTCAACCTCTCTCACATGGATATATTGAGATCAATTCGAGGCTTCTTCATTGCAGGCAATGGAACAATTGAATTGCATCTAGGGCATTTAGGATTGTTCTTCATTATCAACACGTAACATAGGCATCCGGGGCACCCGGCTGCTACCGGGGAAGAAATCGAACAAGATAAAAACTTATTTTCTTCAATTATATCCTCTTCTTTGTCTTTCGAATCTCTGATAGATGAAGACGACGACGAATATGAAGGCGATAAGGGCAAAGGTGAATTCCACATCGATGATAATCGCTTCTTATGAGGCTCCTTCTTCGCTCTTTCTAGCGCGGATTTTACTTTGTCTAGTGTGCACACGCTCTGGCAAACATTGGTTGGTGGTGAGGATTGTGAGGAAGATGACACCAATTTCAACTCCAATGAAGATTCATCGAAGAGATTTAATAAGGGTTTTGACGACGGCGACGGCGGGAAATTTAAATCTTGAAGCTTTGGCACTGTTTCATTGGATTGTTCATGCTTGTAATCTGATGATGAAGGTGCATTTGGTGAATTGCATTTTTGTAAATACACCTTTCCTGACTGCAGCAAGAACACAAAATTCAAACATTAAATTAATAATTCAGTGTAAAATAAAAACAATAGAATTTCGATGAGATTAAACATCTGAATCCTTAATTCTGAATGCTAATTCATGAAGATTACACATGATAAGATAATGAATTTATCAGAATTTCATAACCAATTTTCCCCTAGATTCTTACCGACCAAACAGAAAATTCAGAAACAAATTAAGCAGCGAATTCAAAAGCATACATAGTTAAAAAAAAAAAATAATAATAATAAATTAAAATAATCCCTTTAAAGAGAAGTTGACTATTAAACGAATAACTTTTGAGTTTCTTCAAATGGAACATATTTTCTTTTCATTTCCTATGAAATTTCTCGAGAAACAAACAACACCAGATGAGAAAATGAAATCACCTTCAAGTCTAAACGCTTCTCCCAGCCACTGGGGACTTGCAAGTCCAGGTCCAATTCTGGAAACTCATTCTTTATAGATTGATCACTTGCAGCGCCACCACCAAGCAAGTCCTGGGTGATCAGAGAGGACGTCGTCGACTTTGAATCATTTCCAGCCGTCCGATCATCCTTGTACCGGTTTAGTACTCGAACCAGAGAACTAACATCAGCAGCCATAACAAAAAAGCTTCTTCTTCTTCTTCTTCTTCGCTGAGAGAGAGAGAGAGAGAGAAAGCGAGACAAAGAGTTGATTGTATGATAAATAGAGTGATATAAATATATAGTCCGTTACAAAATGAAAAGATTTATATTACTATTATTAATTTAATTTGTTTGGTAAAGTAAATTGATTATAATTAATTTTTTATTTTCTAATTTGGATTTGATTAATGGTTTCATTTATTGTTGGTTATTTATTAATGGTATGTGGAATAGTTGAGAGAAGAATTTAAGGAAAGGGAATGGTGGCATTAATTGCTTGGAAATACAAGTAGACTTCTTTGCCTTTTTTTTTTTTTTTTTTTTTAAATTTACATTTTATGTCTCTTACTTGAAATGATTTTAAATAAATAAAAAATAGTGAAATAAATATATCACCGTCATCTAAAAATACTACAAGATACTTTTCCGACGGGGGTTTCATGCTCCACTAACGCCAACGGCCAAACTAGGCGTCCAAATACAATGCCTCTCTAGACGTAATTTAATCGTAGCAATCCTTTGTTCGTTTTCTTGATGAAGTTGATGTCATCAAACATTCTTGCAACAATCCTTTATCTTTCGGTGATTTGCGATTATGTGATATGTTTGTTACACTAGAAACTTTCCCTTAGCTACTCATAGCAGTATCAGTTAGTTTTAAAATGTGTACATAGAGATTTGTTTTTACCTCTTGGTTGGATAACTAATATTTCAAAAGTGTGATTAAAATAATTAAGAAGCTAATGATAAAGGATTAGTGCTGTTTAAAAAACGAGTAAACAACTTTTTCTTACCAAAATAATGGTTAAATGATAATTTTTCACTTATAGACTTTTAAAATATCATTTTATTATCTAAATTTATATTTCGTTTCCAATTTCAACATCGTTACGACTCCATACCACCACTATTCTCTTCCTCGATCATCACTTATCAAAACCCCTTAAACCTTACTTGCTCTGACCCCACCATTCGCTATCAATCGAGCGATTAGGATTTGCGCAACTACCAATTCTAAGTCAAACTCTGATCAATCCCAACTACCAAAATCCAACCTTCCATCATCAAAAGACTAATCAGTCTTCCCTTTTCAAAACTCTAACAGTTTAGACTGAATTTATTTTCTGTTCGTCATCGAAATATAAATTTGAGTAATAAAATAATATTTTAAAAGTCTAAGCCATTATTTAAATGGAAAAAAAGTTAGTTAACTCTTAAAAAACCCATTAAATGTGTGAGCTATTATTTGTACATGTATAAGGCTATATGCTAGTGCTTTTTTCCTATTTAATTTCAATGAATTACGAAGTAGAAGCACATTCATGTTTAATATACTATAAAGCCAAAAGGCCGAACGACTTGTGCATACCCAAGATTTACTGTAATAATAAGTTGGTACCCAAAAGATTTTGAAACGATAAATAAGTATCTTCCGTCATGTTCTGTTACTGATTTCTGTTTATTAATAGTGAAAAGACTAAAATGCCCTTCAAAGTTTCAATTTTAGTTTTTTATAAATTTAAAAATTTCTAAAAAACCCTCTAAGTTTGCTAATTTAATTAAACACCCCCATATATAAAAAGTTTGTTAAATAACAAAAACACCCCCAGTGCCAAGTTCGCCACATCGCCGAATCTGGCCGGAAAACTACATTACGACACAGACCCGTCGGGTCTGTTCTGTGTCGTGCCGATCTGGCCTTTTCCGGTCAGATCCGCCACGGATCTGGCCGGAAAAGGCAAGATCTGGCCGTCGAAGCACATCCAGATCTGGCCTTTTCCGGCCAATCCGTGGCTATCTGGCCGGAAAGGGCCAGATCTACTGCCAGATTCGGCCGTCGACGCCGCAGATGGAGTTTTGCGGCGTCGACGGCCGATCTAGCCGTAGATCTGGCCTTTTCCGGCCAGATCAGCCACGGATCTGGCCGAAAAGGCCAGATCGACCGCGTTACGACACAGATCCACGGTCTGTGTCGTACGCAACTTTCCGCCAGATTCCGGCGGTGGTGGCCGGAATCTGGCACTGCAGGTGCGGGGTGTTTTTTTTATTATAAAATTTTATACATTGGGGTATTTAGTTAAATTATAAACTTAAGGGTTTTTTAGAATTTTTAAATTTATAAAAACTAAAATTCAAACTTTTAAGGGCATTTTAGTCTTTTCACTATTAATAACTAATACAGAATCACTAACGAATATGACGGAAGGTATCTATTTGTCGTTTCAAAACCTTTGGATATCAACTTATCGTTACGACAAACCTTGGGTACGTGTAAGTCGTTTCTCCCAGCCAAAAATCACCAAATAAGTACAAGTAGACTGACTCCTGGTATTTCCACTGAATCTTCTGCACTTGATGAACTTTTACTTCACCCTGTGAAACGCATTATCTATTAGTTAAAATAGTTTTTTTTTTTTTTTTTTATTGGCTTTATAACAATAACTCCCACGGTTTATTCAAACAGTAATCCCTTTGTACTGTATACAATCTTCTTAACGTAACGTTAAGTCTTTTGTGTTAAAATAAATAATAGGATTCATTAACTAATTTTATTATATATTTAACGCACACAATCATAAGAGAATTTGTGTATTTCTGAAGAGTTTCATTTTTTAATAAACCTTAGGGGATTGTCATCAAAACCCATTTTATTTAATGAAACGTCTTTTTTTTTTTTTTTAAGTTTTAAATAAAAATCTAAAATTGTTATGATGTTTATGGTAAGCTACAAAAAGATAAGATTGGAAGATGAAATGTTAGGAGTAAATTAAGGCTATAAATATAATTAATTAATAAATTTGGATGCATTAATTTACTATAAGAATAATTAACTTTTTGTCTATATAATATCATTACACTTTTCTCAAAGGAAGTTGAAGCATTAAGATGGGTCTGAAGCTTTGAATACTACATTTAATAAGGTGAAATCTCTAAAGATGACGACCATGATGATATTAATTATATTATTAATTTTTTTTTAAGGATGACTTAATAAATCACTACCTAATTAATTATTTTCTAATATAAATATATTGATATGCAAATTTAATGCCTTCCTTATTGTCTTTGGTGGGCATTTAATATCAAAATTGAATGCCATTTCTCCTATATTCATTTCATTTAATTATGAAGAAATTAAATTTTATTTATTTACTTCCTTCCTAGGCCAAAGGGAGGTGTAAGTATTTATGTTCACAATAAAGTTTTGCATGCAACATTTAATGCTATTTATTATTTAATCCCTTAACAGATAAAAGTCAATACACCTACATCATCTTTAAATTTAATTGATTTTTCTTTATTTTTTTAATAATTAATTAATTCTTTTTATAATTCAAAAACAATTAATATTGCCCACTAGTTTTACTTCTCAAAATAGACAAACATGTACAGCCAATTAATTAATTAGTACACATTTGTTGAATTTTAATTCATTTTAGGGATTACCTTAAATGTAATCTTCAATCTTTATCATTATCATTTATTTATTTATGGTTCGATTTTTTTGACGGTTTCATCGAATGAATGAAAATTGTTATTTATCTAAGCATTCAAGAGTATGGAACATTCATATTACTAATAAATGAATTTATATAATGTATAATTTATTTCTCTCAACTTATTGATTGGGTTATAATGTTTAATCTTGTAAGATTTGGTTTTAAAAATAATTCAAGTTATAGTTTATATAATAATTTTGAGTTAATTATAATATTTTTAAGGGGAACAAAAAAATAAAATAAATTGCCCTCTCAAGTCATTGGACTAAATAAAGCCCAACAAAAGACCTTTTGGGCTTGTGGGAAAAATGAAGCCCCACATACAAGTGTAAAGCCATAGTTTTAGGCTAATTTGAAGGCAAAAATTAATTGATAAATTTTATTTTGGCAAATTAATGTTTGTATTATATGGTTATAGTATCGCAAAAATTATATAATATAATTAGATATAAAAAAATTTGAGTCTAAAATGACATAATTCACACCTTAACATCTCCATGTACACCCCATATATAGGCCCAATTGTTATGGGCTAAAATGAGAATGAAAATTCCTTGAACAAAGGAATATTTTCCCTATCTCCATCTCCTTCCCACATTAAATTAAAATTATATATATATAATTGAATACTAATCTATCATTGGTAAATATATCAAATTGAAAATTAATCTATCAATTAGACCAAGGTGTGTGTAAATTATAACCCCTCTTAGAACATAGACATTCGTATTTCTTTGAGGTGTATATTTTTGTTTCCCAAACTCATGTATAACCATTACGAGATTCATTAAGATTAATAATATATGAAAATAAATTGCATATCAAACATAGAGACATAATTTTTTAACATTATTGGAAATTTCACCTACATTCATACATGGGAGTGCACACATGTAAATAATACAATCCCTAACTCGGACAAGTAACATTAACACAAATAAAAACCTAAAATTGGTTCGTATTCCTAATCATATACATATACTTGAACTATGTAATCCAATAGCTAACTAAGACGAGTAACATTAATACAAATAAAACCTTATAATAAAATCTTTATTAATATGAGTCTTATTTATTTTATGTATATATAGAGGTGTTGTATTTGTATATTCTGGAACACAAATCAAACAATCTAAAGGGAATAATGAAGGGCCCATATTGAAGGCCATAGATTCCTCCAACAATTCAACCTTATGTTATTCTCTTTTTCTTTGTATCTTTCAGTCACTCTAAGCCAATAAACCTGCAATACCACAATTCTATTAAATATCAACTCTTGTCAATCAATTTTGGTTCTTCACGCTTAGCTTCCCCTCTCTGCTCTCTCTATCTCGTCTTAGGTAATCCAACATGCAGATCTTTGTCAAGACTTTGACAGGGAAGACCATCACTCTCGAGGTTGAGAGTAGCGATACCATCGATAATGTCAAGGCCAAGATTCAGGTTTTTATTTGTTTTTTTTTTCATCTGGGTTTTTTTGTTTTCGTGTAAAGATTGGGTTTTTTTTTTTATGTTAAAAAGTTGTTGGCTTT